TACCCAAACGAAATGCGATTCGCATAAATGACCAAACTAACCCTATACATGTGCACAACTCAAGCCCATGAAGTGAACAAAGAAGCCCAATGGTCCTTCGCCAGCATTGTGCTGATCCCTTATGATTTCACGTGTCGATCCGTATGTCATTAACTTTCAATGATCTCCCTGCAAAATGCGAATGAGAATCAGTAAAGCAATCGCCCAACCGTTCCCAACATGAAAAGCCAAAACGAGCATTCCATCCTCAAAAGTCTGATTTTTGCATGGCAACACGTGTCAACACCTAGTTGTTAAGCTGGTATACCGACATCATTAATTGTTCACTTTGCTCATGTATAAACGAGGTCCTAAGAGCATGATTGGATACAAAAATTTCTCAAAAAAATCCAAATATTTTTAACTCAACCACTTTTTTAACTCAACTTTAACTCAACCCACTATCATCAATATTATCAATATAATTAAATAATATCAATCAATCATTTTTACACACAACATCAACCTTAATTCACTATTCATCTACTCACATAAATTTAACTAACTATCACATCACATTTTCTCTCTCTTACTTTTAGATCACTTTAATTTTAATTACTTTATTTTAAATATTATTTTATTATATCCACTAACAACTTACCATACCTACTTTTTCAAATTTAACCAACCCAAATCAAAACAAAAACAAATTTATATCCAAGCATGCTCTAAATACCTCATGAAACACAACAAGAAAAACATAAACTCATCCAAAAACACATTCTCCCTAATATGCACATTTACTTTTCCGAACATATCAGTTTGCGACGATCTCTCATACTACTGCCGAAGTCCATTTTTATTCAGTTTTATTCCATCTTCATACTAAAGTATCCTTAACCTATATAAATTATGTTGGTGGCCAAACGTCGTCAACAACCACCAAATTCGTCGGTCGAAAAATTGAGAACCAACATCAACCAATGAGCAACTAGAACGAAAAACATTTAGATCAACACAATGTCATATACTTTCAACACTAGCTCAATCAATCGGTACAAAACATCCAACGGCTAAAATCTTTTGGAGCTAAATGTGCAAAAAACACCAAACATTGGAAATTTAATAGTAACTTTAATTAAGTTTGAGATTTAAATAATATTAAATAATAATTATAAATAAGTCTCGAGTTCGAGTGGTGGGGAACCATTATCCTATTTTAAAAGTGCAAAAAAATTTTATAAATTAAATATGTGCGGGTAACATGTGATATAATTTACCGTCGTATATTAGTTTAATATCAGCAATATAAAATTAACTTGTATAAGAGAACAGAGTTTGCATGTTTACAATATTAAAAACATGTAAAAGTATGTAATGGTTTATGTATTATTATTAAAAGATGTGAAGTCACCTACAATTTTTTTAAACTATTTTGGAAAGAAAACATGTTTAAAAAACATTTGAATTTTACATTTGTATGAAAGATGTTTTCTAAACTCTGTTGTAAAGAAAACATGTTTAAAAATATTTAAATTTAATATGTATATATATACACGTGTATATGTATATAGATATAATATGACATGATAAAATATTATATAAAAGTATCTAAAATATCATAAGCCTAAATAAAAACATTATATTTGCAATTACACTTTAGAGCGAATGAAAAAAACAATTGTTACGATAATTTTTTAAAAAAATATGTTACAGCAGATACATAAGAGATGAAAAACATTATAGATATAATATGAAATGAAAAATATTAGCGCCGCATTTATTCATTAAATGATTTTGACGATGAATTTTGGCGAGAAATTATAAAAAAATTATTCTTTTTATATAATGATAAATTAGCATAGTGAGATTTTTTCTAATTATTTAACAACTTTGGTTTGTATATACTGATAAAATATTGTACAAAACTTTTTCTATCAACATTGTAAATTAGTTTTTAAAAATTCAGAATATCACCATAATTCAGTGATGTTTAATGATGATTCAAATTATCATGATAGGTAACAAAAAAAAAAGGTAAAACAAAAAAGAATATTTTAGTTTTAGAGTACAAAAAAAAGGAAAAAAGAAAATAAATAAATATGATACAACCGACTTTTTACATTTAATGGTAACAATTATCAATTGCGTTTTTTATTACCTAAAAATCAGGTAAAACAAATATAAATATTTAGCTTTGATACAAAAAAATGGCGGCTGAACACAATAAATAATGACGGCTAAACACAATAAATATTTGGCGGATAAATATAGCGGGAATTTATAAAATGTTATTCTTTTTATATATAGATAGATAGATTTATATAGGGTAAATTGCGCCAAACTCCCCTGTATTATACGAAATCTGCGCGTTTTCCCCCTGTATTTTAAAAATTGCGCCATACCCCCTTGTAATATACTTTTACATGCACGAAACCCCCTAAACCGTCAAAAATGACGGCAGTGGCTTGCACGCGCGTGCTGTGCGATTTTTTCTTCATTTTTTCACCCTAAAGTGCCTAAAATTACTGCTTTACCCCTAAAGTAATTATAATATAATATAATATATATAATATTTA